CGTACTCATGGTTTGCGTGTCTTACGGGTTAGACTGTTGACCACGAGTCCTCGAGAGGACGGAAGGGGACAGCTCTAGGGGAGCGTGGAATAGGGCACGGAATCGAAACATGGGTGTGATTTTCTGCGGGAATTTCGTCTTGAGGGCGTCCTGTGGTGATTTATCCCACGACTACTCCAGAAGCGCTTTGGCAACGTTCACACCGTGACAACAACACCAGCAACGAAACAGGCGGGAGCTAATAAAACTAACTCCGCGCAACTGGCCGCCTCGTCACATGTCGACGTTATGTATCGACAAGGCACCCACCGGGTGCACGGCCACAGCGCCCAGGCGCGAAATACCTGGCTTCATGGCGCTATAGGCGACGCCCTGATCCCTCCCGTTCTTGAAGAACCGAATCTCGTTCAAGGGGTCGCCCGCCGCCGTGTCAGACGCCGCCGTCGCCGCCAGCTCGCTCGGAGACTGCCCCGCCGCAAGCGCCGCAGCCGCAGCCGCAGCGGTCATGCCGTGCCTACCAGAGTCGGAGGACGCACCGACAGTGTCTCTGAAGGCACGTAAAACAAATCCGAAAGGCGCAGCGAACAGGGGGGGGGCGGATGGTAGGGTGTGATTTGTGTCCTGATTCACGATAACCCAGGGGGAGACAAAAGCAGAAAAAAAGACTGGGGGATCAAACAAGCATAGTGAAAAAACAACTGGGGGAGCAGCGCTCAAGCCTGACTTCTCGGGGAGAGGAGGCACGTCAACTGTTGCTGAAAAAGCAAAGAGGTTCGTACGCCGGAGGGGGGAAAGACGCAGGAAGGTGCAACCCTCGGCCAAAACTCCATTTGAGCGCCTCCGACCTCAAAGCAACGCCGACGGGCTTGGCGACATCAGGCGCGCCGAACAAGGTTCTCGTCAGTTCCGTCGCGCGTACACCACAAAATGCAAACATGGTTGCACGTGTAAATATGAGACAATCGGTGCTTTCATGTCCGGGGTCTTTCGAGTGTCCTCCCCCTGTCCAAGCAACGACCTCCGGTGAGGTCGCCAACGCGAACATGCCCTCCACACTTTCGCTTCACTAGCTCATAAGATTGTCTCACATTATCTCTTCTGGTGTGGGCGACTTGAGCCTGATGAGAAACCCGATCACATCTCCCGGCCCCCAGGGCTCGCCGTAGTTGTCCGAGCGGTGAGAATCGTGAACCTGAGCGGAATACATCCCGGAAACGAACGGGTTCATTACGAGAGAGGGCTGTCTAGGCGAAAAAAATGAATAAAGGCGGTTGAACTTCCGGCTCGAAAGAAAGGCTCGATCGGCGATCTACCGACGAACGCCCGCAAATCGGGCCGGTGCCCTCACTATCGACGCCCGTTGCCACGCGAGCACGATTTCCGCAAAAAAAAACTGGAGGAAGAGCGGACGGCGAATCAGCAGGGGAATCCCTGCTTCCTCTTGGATGCCCAACGCCAAGCGCGTCCCAGTGCCCCCCCAAAGGGTTGCCATACACACAACCCTCTTCACCCTTCCAGTAGGCCCCGACCCTCCACTGTTGCGCCCGAGCGGACGCGTCGAGAAAGAAAAGAATCCGCCGGTCACCTTGGAGCCGGCGATATCTCTGTAGGCGTAGCTGAACTTATCGTAGCCGACTGGTCCTTGCAGCTTTCCCGCCGGGAGGGACCAGCCCAGGCGGCAGTGGCCCTCCGTCGTCTCCGGAGGCAGGACCGCGCACTCCCAGTACCTGGCAAAAACATCGGGAACGGGGGGGAGGGGGGAGCCATAGTTGACAACAAACTTGCGCCAGTGGAATGTGCTGGTGTGTATCCAAACTGAGCGTTGGGGAGCACGGCGGTGGTGTGCGGAAATGCTCCCGCTGCTGAGTTTTTTGGTCGGGTTGTCTGATGCTTTTGGAGCTAATTGTTGATTGACTGAAGAAAGGTGGCCGTCGAGTGAGAGAGAGGCTGAGTGAATTCGGCCTGATCCTACATGGTTGGGCCGTCCACACTGCCGACGACCTTGTGGTTTATGCATTTTGAGATTTTGGTTATTCGTGGATCTTTTTATTGTTCGTCCTGAAAACAATCACAGGAAGCGGCGACCCCCTCGCTCTCCTCTAGCATGGACACAAACCGGCGCCTTTAAACTACGGTAATACCGCCAACAGTTTGATGTGCGGCTGCCAACGGTCCAACAAAGCCTTCCTGTAGCCCAGAATGGCAGCACTTGATTTAGCGCCGGATCAAACTCGTGGGGCGTCCGGCAAAGTCGTTGGAACACACACCTAGATTGGTCTACACGACAGTACTCGCGCAGAAACAACGATACGTTCATAGGTGACTTGGTACCCTACAAATACGCGTTTGCCTAGAAAATCATGTCGAGTTAGTCGGCGTTGTTCCGGAAGTACTCACCATGTCCCGTTCGAGACGCCCTTTGTTGCCCGCGCCATGCGGAAACCTTTGTGTCCGGTCACCGTCAGCTGATCCTGTGGCAAGCGCCATCGAGGAGAAAATGGATGCAACACAACCGGCGCGGACATGCAATAGCAGTGGAGCGCGGGGCCGAGGGTGACGTTGACGTGGGCATAGTGCAAACGGCGGAGGCAAGGGCGGCGGCGGGGTATCTCCGCCGTCTCTCGCCTTGTGGCAACCCTTCGTCGTCGGTGGGGACGGGTACTATTCAACAATACAAGCAAATGCTAGCGCCAGGTTACAAGAATGGTGAAGCCCGAGCATCACCAACAAAAAGCGACGACAACAGGCAGAGGATGCCTGACGTGGCCTTCGCAAGAAACACAGACGCCCATAATTAACCGCATACCTTATGAGGCATGGTAAGCTGAGGCGCGCAGTCTTCGGCAGACCGCGAAATGACCACGCCCTAACGCCCAGAGCCGAGCGGAAAAAAACGTCACGGGGGTGCACAGGGCAACAGCAGCAGCGGCGCAGGCAATAGCGGCGGCATGTACAAGGACGGGATAAACGAACTCTCTCGCAAGGACGAAGGGCAACAAACAACAGTCTAGGGCGGGGGCGACCACCACTGGTCTACAAGATGCCAAACCTCATATAGAGCCTGAAAAGGCTGAAGTGCGCCGTTCGACCTGGACCACATGGCGGCCGCATGCAACACGGCAAATGTTCGCCCGAGAAGACACCACGTCGAGGGCACGACAAGGAGAGAGCGCGGGGGGGGGGGGGCGGGGGTAGCCTACTCATAGGCACGCCGGGGCGTGGTGGCGGCGCAACTAAACACTGTGGTCCGTTACCCCATTCCCTCGTGGTCATCCTCGTCACGAGATACGCAGACACTTGCCGGAGGAATGTAGGCCTGTGACCCCGTGCCAGACCCCCTGGAACCCTTCTTCTGCTTCTTCTTGCTGGTGGGTCCCGGGGCCGGAGCTGGGGCCGGAGAAGGCGCGGGGGTGACCGAAGCACCGGAGGCGGAGCTTACAGAGGCGTTTCTGGGCGGCGATGGACTGTTTCTTCCCCCCGTCGACGACGAATTGGCTCGCTTGCGACCACCGCCGCCGTGCTGAGGCCCGCTGCCTCCATCACTCTCCGACATGCTTCAAAAACTGCACCCCCCTAGTGTAAAACACGTCCTGCGAGATAACAAGATAGCGGGGCGGAGTTGTTGGGTGGTGTGTTTGGACGAAAGAGAGAAGACTTGAAGACGTCAACTGCATCATAGTTTGATCCGGGTTTGGATTGTCAGCGACTTGCGCCAGCAGTCGAACAGGGCTATGTTCGTTCCACAGAACGTGCCACCACTTGAGAACAAAAAAAAACACGTACGCCTCGAGGTTCGGTGCCTTTTTCATTTGTGGGGAGACCATACACCGCCATGGCGGGTGACATGGCATCAGGAAAGCGATGGATGTTGCCAAATCACTTCTTGGTTGACTCCTTGTCGCACCGGGGTGCGATAACAATGATGGGGTACCAACACCCCGATACCCATGCGAAAACAAAATAACAAATCGCTGCAAGGGTTTCCAACGCGCCCCCGGCAAGGCAGGTAACTCCGATATCGCTATTTAGCAGTAAACATATGGTAGAAAATAGAGTAAACAGGGCGATGGTTCCGAGCCGGGGTTTTATCGGTGTTGTCGCACCGCGCTGCGCGATACCATCGAGGACGGCCCGGAAACCGAATGAAATCATGCCATTCTTGCTTTGGTTACCCCGCCGCAGTGCCATGACCGCGACGGATGGGAAATCCCTGAAGAGTGCCATCAAGCGCACTGCCGTTGCGGTAGGTTATAGTTCAGGGTCAATTCAACGTGTCAATTTCGAAAACAAACCGAACTATCACGGGTCTCAACCAACTAGCATTTTCCAAGTTCTCAAGTGGGGGCGTGTTCGGTAGTCAAGCGGGATACTGGTATTCAAATGCTGGCCGGGCGCATTTACTCATCAACAGCAGTGGCTCAGTACCACACGCGACTGGGACTCTCGGCCCTTTTCGGCTCAGACCCTCAGCGCTCTTCGGCTCACAAACGTCACGACCATGTCTCCCACACAAACACAAGGGCACCACATTCAACTGGCGGCAGACAGCCAGGACATGAATGCTCTGTTGCATCCGTGTGTTGAACGAAAGTAGCAAAGTGTTATCGGCCACGGCGGGAGAGACCGCGAGAGCTTTGGCTAGCAGCAATGGAGAGAGGTAGGAACAACAGAACGTGCCCCCTACGGTTGTCAGGGGGTTGACAATTCACTACACGGCTCATCGGAGTACCCAATGTACGGTGCACCGGACTTTCAGCAACCTTCTGAAGTAGCGCAACGGAGTGCTCACACTCTTCGTGTACAAGTAGTTCTGCAAAGACGCGGTGAATCTTCTACCTGGGATCAGGGTGGTGTTGGCGACAATGCAGCAAAGGCTTCTGTGGATACTGAATTCGTGCGGTGCAGACGTGCCCAAATGGGTGACGCCCAAGGAGTTGAACGGACGGACTACAAGCCTGAGGAACACGCAGGCCTACAGCAACAGCAACGTCGGAGCAGAGATTTGAAAAATGCGGCCGGTGACCAAATAACACACACAAAAATCGTCAAATTTCTCACCTGCTTCCTCGGCCAAGTACACCCAGCGGAAGCAACAGCAAAGGGATAATATCGCCAGATAGAAAACAAGTAACAAACCGAGTCGTCGCAGGTAGTACTGGCATGCAGCCTAAGGCCTGCCTCGTTGAACGCGCTGCTCTGTCGTTGCTCTCCTGCTGCCCTCTCGTCGGCCGCAGGGTACCGACCTAGCCAAAGATCCTGTCCGTTGAGCCCCAACTCTGGCTCTCGATGTCTCGTGCCTGCATCGCACACCAACAACAGCAGCAGTTGCTCCCTGTTGATAGCATATGACGCATAAGGAGAGGGAACGTGCTCCGAGAGCTCCAAGCAAGAAGCCATGCAGGTGGGGAGGGAGGAGACACGGCAGCATCTGCTGGGTTGCTTTTGGGCATCGCATGTTGCACAGGACTGTTAGGGTGGTTGCGCCGCATCGCCGCATCACACGCCAGCAGCATCAAGCAACCCCGATCAGCACGAGCAGGAGCGGGAGGGATGCAGGGAGTAGGGAGTGTAGGAGATGAAGGATCACGCTATTGCCTAGGGCGAGGAGTATGTTCCCGCCTTTTGAGAAACCATCTGTGGTTAACTCATCCGAACGTGTCTGGTCCTTCCAGTCCCAACGTCCCCACCACAGACATGGGAGTTTCCGTTGTCTAGATGCAGCAACGGTTCAGCTAGCTGGTGCGGTCTTGCCTCTTCATTCTCAACCTGATGGAGAGCTGCTTCTCGTTTGCCGGACTTCTCACCAATGTAGTGGTACGTCTTTCTGTCGCAATCCCAAGTGTTGGCACGGGCACACATCCGGTCATCGGAAACGAGCACAAATCAATTGTTTGTGCAGGCGAATCTGGCCTGGGTCTCTCAGAAAACATACGATCACTGCCGCCTCCGCATGTTGTGTTCTGGTGAACTTTTTCGGGTTAGATTTCCACCGATGCAGATACCACCGCCCTTCCTGTGCGCCGCCACACGCTCGCTCGTTGTTTCAGGTTCTTCCACCAGAACGACTGCTTCAGGGGTGATAAGTGCCACATGGTGCACGTTGCTAAGAACACCGTGAGTACCGCACTGCCCCGTGTGCGATGGTACCATGCCTTCCGCGCTTCCTACCCCGCCGCCTCAAGCACAGCCATAGCCCCCATACCCTGAGAGTCACGCGAACCTTCTCCTCAAGATCAATAGAAAAATTCTCACCATCAACGAAACCCAACACCAAACACAAAGCACAGCGGTGGTTCTAAACCTACTGGAATGCTCCGGACGGGAGGCCTGGCCTGTTTGCGAATCTGCGACGGGTTTCCACGCGGGCGTGGTTTCCCTACCCAGGTACCGGCAGAGAAGGAAGCTAGCCGAAAAAGGGTACGACCGCAAAAGCCTCACCCCAGCCGCTCCCGGTCGGCATGCATGCTGACCCCCCCCCCCCCACCCCCCCTCACCAAACCCGACGATCCCAAACAACCACAGCTGGCTGCTTGCCAGACGCACCTTTTTTGGCTGGAAGACCCCTGGTCCCGGCCCGCCTGCGAGTGGGGCGAAGACTGCACCTTTCCGCACCCCAAGCCTGAGGGTCCCGAGGACCCGGGGCTGCTCAGGACCAACGTTGCCCTGCAGACGGAGAGCTCGCAGCTGTCGCGGGTCAGGGCGTACGCGTCGGGCGTGCTGGGGAAGGACGGGGAGGCGTCCGACATGGGTACCGCCCGATCCGGGACCAGCAGGTTAGGGCAGGTCGCGGCGGTGTGTGGGCATGGTGATTTGTGGCCGTGGTCTGATTTGTGCACTGCAGTGATCTTTCGTTTGTTGGACAGTGCTGTCCCGGTTTGACTCGAAAGAAAAACAATGGCTGACGTTGTGTTTTTTTGGTGTTGGTGCACCGTTTTTGTCGTGTATGGCTATATTTGATGTTTTGGGTTTGGTGTTCCGCGTATCGTCGAAGTTGGAAGCTGGTGCTCCAGGAAAGAAAGCTGATCCAACGACGAGTGCAAATCCGGGACAATCTCGGACCTCTGATACCTCAAAGCATCTGGCACCTCTGATACCTCAACAGAAACCTCAACGCTATCTCGGACCTCTGATACCGCAGCAGTATCATTTTCTTGCTCCCCTCAACTTGCCTTCTGCGGGTTCTTGGTGGGTGTTGCAAGGTTCTCTGGTATAGACTTGCTTGTCCTAGGTGCTACTTTTGAGAAACAGCTGCAGGAGGTGTCTGAATCACTTTCGGTGGGTGTCGTTGTTGACGTAAGAGTGATACTCTCGTTTTTATTTTTCCAGTCGCATCACGTCGCCTCGGAAGCTCTTGTTTTTTTTTCCAGCTTGTAGATTGCCGGTTCTACACCTACAGCACCCCTCCAATATATGCTCGATCTCACCAAGTCTTTCGTCTCGGGGGTCGGGTTTGGACCTTTTTAGGTACAGGCAGAAGCTGGCTCTGCTGGAAGCGAGAGATCCCCAGGAGTTTTCCAGGAGGTGCGTCTCCGACCCGTCCTTGTGCCGGTCGCTGCTGAGGGTCTACCTCCTCGGTGGGGGGCTCTGCACGAGTTTGGAAGACGTGGGGAAGGCGGTGGGTGTTATTTGTTGCTTGACTCATTGCGTGCCGGTGTCGCCGCCGCAAGAGTGAGTACAGCAGGCTGTTCCCTCGTACGTTGTGGTGCCATCGTCCTCTTTCCCGGGTGGGTTCTCGCGTGTCCGTTCGTTTTTTTCGTGTATGTTTGCCGTCTTGGCCTTTCTTGTTCTCGTCGCGATAGTGTTGTATCATGCTGCACAAAGCCTGTCTTATGTAAGCAATCCGACGCCCCCAGCCATGCCTGACACTCTGCTGCGCCGCTTGGATGCCGATACAAACCGTCCAGTGGCGATCAGATGTTCCCCCTTTGTTTCCGAACATATTTCCCCAATTAGCCCCCCCAATGTTTATGCTTTGGGGTACACCTACGTCCCAAGGTTTCAAAAGCGGTAGCGGAAGGCAAATACCCTGGAGGAAGGCCGCCCCCCGGAACAGAGGACAATACTACAACTACTCCTACTGATGCCGTTGCTGGTGGTGCTACGCCGCCGCCGCCGCCGCCACCGCCACCGCCACCGCTGCCGCTGTGCGTGCGAGTCCAGGCCCTTCCGAAGGTAGACGGTAATTTGTTGGAACGGGCCATGTTGGCCGGCGGCAACCTGGTTTTTGCACATATACGAGGGTGGCCGCTTGAGGCTTGGATCATTGCCCTGGAAGCCCAAGGTGCCGTGTTCGTGACGGGGGGAGGGGGGGTCTGTGTCGTGCAGCTGTGCCGGGTCTCCAAGACAGGATGTAGTTTCGAACGGTTACAAAAAGTGTCGAGACTCTCTGGTGGTGTTCGCCACACACCCAAGTCGGGTATTCAACAAGCAGTCAGCGCTCGACGTATGGCTCACAAAAAAGAGGCCGGAGGTCCTTACTAGAAAGATGAACGTTTCGTCCGCGAGAAGCAATGCATGTAAATCTAGGTGTTTCACACCGTTTGAACCCCCTCCTGTCCTCTGCCGTGTGGGCCCCCGTCCCGTCCTGATCCGAAGAATATCCCACGAGTACTCGGTCCCCCACGGTATTAATGCAAAAACCAAGATTCCTTCGCACATCGACTCAGGTGATGGAAATGCAGCTGATCGATGAAGAGACTACTTTCTGGGATGAGAACTTCCCCAACCTCTCTCGAGAGAGGCAGGCGGGGGCATTCACACACGTCCTGAGCCTGGTCTTCGCCAGGGGCGCTTTTCTGTGGGGGTTGGCGCAAGCCGCGACACACGGGCGCAGGTGCGCTTTGTAACATGTTGCTAAAACTCGCGTTGTTTTTGCCGCGTGGTCGGTTTGTCCCCTTCCCCGGTGTGTCAGTGGGCAGGTGAGGGACGTGCCATGGCTCTGAATTGTTTCTTTTTTTTTGCTGTCAGTGCGCCCGTGGCGTCATAACCCACGGGAGAGTGGTACATTTAGGCCGCTATGAATGCTAACACCACATGGTTTGGCTTGCCTGCCTCTCACGGTGTGTTTGTCCTCCTACACCCAACGGCGTGCATGACATTACAGCGGAGCCCCCTCCCCCTCATCCCTTCTTCCGATGTTTTGAAGCTAAACCCTTGGTTTCAATCTAGGAGGGCAGACATACGCCCACGGGACCGCGTGCATGTCTGATTTTTTGCCCCATGTCGAGACCATGCTTGCACCAACACAAGTTCGTTTTGTTTGGGCTCACTCGCTGTGCTCGTTTCGTACCCCCCCCCCACCCCCCCCCCCTCCCCCCCCGGTCGCGTTCAGCATTATCGACAACAACAACGAGGACACCGCCGTATGCCGCGCGTACTACAAGATCAAGGAGGTCACATCGCGGGCCGACCTGTCCTTCGGCGAGGATTGGACGGCGGTGAGGGTTGTTGCTCTTCCAGCGATTGTCATCATATCTGTCATGTTATTCTTGATTTCACCTTCGCCCGCATCTGTCAGACCCCCGGGGCGATAGGGGTACCTGGGAGTATTCACTCCCTTCTTCGACGCCCTCGATACGCTGCAATTGATGGCATCTGAGGAGAGAGTGCTCATTCAACACTCTCGATGAAGGCGTTATTGGCTGTGGGCGTGTCGGGGTGGCTTGTGTCGCTGGTCGCTGATTGTTCGAAAATGCTGCCTGCTGCCGCGAAGCTGTTTGGTCAAGGGTTGGCGTTTCGGCCGAGAGAATCACCACCGGTGGCTCGAGCTGCCCTTCGGCAACATACGGGGGTGACGATGCACGCCGTCACTTTGTTATCTCTGGGCAGAAGTTGTCCAGAAACCTCGTTGTTCGTGTAGACCATCCCCACAAGTTTTTTCTCGCAACGCTCGATCGTCTCCGGATTCAGTGTTTCCGCCGGCTTTCACTTCATTCAAAGGGCACATGGTCTACACACACATCCTCTCGGACGGTCGTCGAACCCGCTTTTTCGCTCTCTGCCCGTGCGCGCGCACGCAGATCGACATCGGCGCGGCCCCCGGCGGGTGGACCTCCTTCCTGGCCTCCAAGTGCCGCAGGGTGCTCTCTGTCGACCCTGCCGAGCTAGACTCTGCGGTTCTCGCCCTGCCCAACGTGGTGCACGTTCAGAAGCTGATCGAGGCCGCGAAGGGGACGCTCCTTGATCTCCTCGCCGAGGATGCGCCGGCGCACGAGCGGGAAAGCCGCGGCGGCGAGGGGGAGGAGCGCGACGATGGCGGGGGTCGTACCCACGACGGACGGCTTAGTGGCGGTGGTAGCTTCACGCCAGAGGCATCGTCCCTCGGGTCTCGCTTGACGCCGGGCGGGCCTATAGCTTCCGCGGGATCAGCGGATACGGCGGGCGAGGCGTCATCAATGGGGGCAAATGACCGGCCGACAGCTCCGGGGAAGAGCCAGGGAGCGGAGCTAGTCGTGTCCGACATGAACGCCGAGCCGGCGGTGGTCGCGGACGTCCTCCTCTCGGCCATGTCGGCCGGGCTGGCGAGGCCCGGCGCGCTGCTCGTTGCCACGTTCAAGGACTTCTGCGGGCGGCGCAAGAGGATGAAGGACGAGGTGGCCCTGGCCGTAGAGCGTTTGCGGGTCGGTACTTTTGTTGTCGGCGGCGGCGCTTCGGGTGTCGGAGAGGGGGACGGGGGCCCCGCAGCTGCGCCTTGTGGTGGAGGTCCCCCCAATGCGGGGACCTCTGGCAACGATGCCGACGGAGGTTTGGAAGCAGGGAACGGTCTCTCGCACGCTGGCACACCGCCGGAAGGGAGAGTTGCAGGGGTTGCCTGCGAGAAAGAGGGGGCCGAAGGATGGTGGAGACTAGAAGGGATCGAGACGATGAAGCTGTTGGCCGGGGGGCGGGCCGAGGTTACAATCGTCGCGCGGGTGGCCCACGGAACGGGGGTAGCAAACGGAGGCGATGGCGGCCGTTAGCGTCTACCATTACCTGCTCCTCCGCATCGACAAGCGCTGAAAGTTGATTGGTGCTAGCGACATCGCCAACACGTCTCAGTTTCGCGCGTCGGGAGAGGTCGGCAGTACGCTACTGGCTGCTAACTTGCGTCGTGAGTCGGTGGCTTGCTTCCAGGTTCAAGGGACGTTCCCCTCGTAGCTCGTGATGGGTGGTAGTGGGCCGGCGTCGCCTTCGGGTGGCGCAGCGGTGTTTCGTAGAGTGATGCAGTGGCGGGGCAAGAATGGTATCAGTCCATCACACCACACAGCATGAGCGGTCGCTCAGCTGCGACTTCACCATGCTTGCTTCCGGTGCTACGCCACCACAACGCGTAGAAGAAGCACCTTGAATGTGTCGTGAATCGTTTTGGACTTTCTAGAAAAACGCTCCAGGCCGTGGCAGATACACTCAAAACGGTTCCTGCGTGGATTCCGCCTAAAATATTTACTTCGTGATGTCCCCCGAGGCACATGGGGGTAGCACGTTGGGCATATACTGCAAACGTCTGCAGCCGTAAATAATTAGTACATTTTCACCGATAGGCAAGTTTTGAGAGTGCGCCCACCATGGTGAGTCTAGCATGGCTGAATTGGGGGGGAATCCTCTTGATCACACACGGGGTCCTCGCATGGCTTGGGAAACTTCTGTGGAAGCGTTTTTGTCGTGGGAGGGGCGGTGTTTAGCGAAGGACACGGCAGATGTGCCTGGTTTCAAGAACAAGTCTTCCATCTTTTTTATCGGGGTTGCTGGCAGTCTGCACACACAACATTGCTGTGAGATTTGAAGTTTTGGTTCGTTTACTTGTTAGCTGAAGGTGAGGAGGGCGTGAATGTTGTGGCGCGTTGGGCGAAAGGGAAGTAACTTCTTTGGGGCCGAGACGGAGGTCTGGGACTGGAAGCGTACCGTCAGCATGCGCTGGGCGGATGCCGATTTTTTTTTGTTAGTTTTACGTCAGCGAGGATGAGGTAAGTCTCGCGCGTCGCAGGCAAGCAAGGCAAGGTAGGAGTTGTGGCTGCGTGCTTGCGGTGCTTCTCGCAGCACGTGGCATGTAGTGTAGTATTTATCGATGCCGGGTACGCAATGCGTGCTTTCCGTGGGCACTGAAGTCGTGCAGTTGGTTGCTTATTTTCTCGTTTACGTGTCGAACACGCTTCGCACAGGTGCATGTTGTCGCTGGGTGTTGGGCACGGTATAGTCTTAGTTGCAACATGGCAACAAGCAGAGCAAAGAGGTGCCGCCGACATTGTGCGTGTCATGGAAGTCTAGCCGCTGGTGCTAACGGTGTTCGTCGGTCGGGGCAAGTGGTGGGATGAGGAACTTGGGTCCACCTCAACCCTGGACACAAAAATGTGTCGAACTAGGTATCCTGCATGCGCAGTTTCGCACAAGGGGATCATCGGTGGCGTGTGACAGTGATTGTATCGAAATGGTCAAACAACGAAGGACAAAGCGACGGGCACTGCAGAGCAGTCAGGGCCCAAGTTTGAGGGAATCGCTGGCGGCGTTGAGGCAATGGGAGGAACGTATCCAAAGCTTCAAACAAACCTACCATGATAGCATTGCACGACAATCAATTGATTTCGATGTTCTGCTGGGGGTTGCATATGGTGCTCCTGCGGGCATTAAAAAACCACATGTGCTTTTTACGCGGCCCCTGCCCTACGTTGTCGTGCCGACTTGTCGTCGAATTTCCTTGTCGTTCAGACGAAATCTCCCCAAAGCCTTCAAGTCCTGCAAAAACACCCTGTCACAACCAAGCACAAAAACATCCCAAGCGAAGACGTTGGCAGTCATTCGTTTCAGAGCCTTGGGAGGCACTTCGCCGGCGCTTCTCTCAACGTGCATGGATAGCTCACCGTTCATCGAGGAACTCGCCCTCGAGCGATATATACGCAACAACGACACAACAGAGCACACGACCAATCCGTCGAGAAAAAATTGACTACAAAACGCGCAGGTTGAATACCATCGGACAAACAAACAGGAAAAAGAACGCGACATGAAAGTCTACAACGTCTGCCCGCCTTATCCTAGAAGGAGAAAAGCGGTCTCGCTCTACGCCGACGCGATGCCGGGATTTCTCCAGTCCTTCTGTACGTCGTCGAGGTGCTCGTCCATGTCCACCAGCCTACCCTCCGTCTTGTCTGCCAGCGCCGACTCGAACGCTTTGACAGCCTCTGCTGCCACCTCGACCTGACGAGCACACAAGTGGGTACGTATGATCCATGGCGTTGTGGTCGGTCTTCGTTTATCTCAACCACGAAGAGAAAGCGACGTCTGACTTTCGGCTTTTCTTCTCGGCATCCCCCCCTGGAAACCCCACGGGCTACATGAAGCGTTTCGCTCTACACCACACCCACACCCACACGTCTACCCTGTCGAACGGCAACCAAACCATCGATGGCCACAAGCCAGACGAAATATGCAAAGAACCAAAGAGAAGACAGAGACGAAACGCACCTCGACGTGCTTCCGGAAGGAGTTGTTGCTGTCTCGCCCGTACGCCGATACCGCGCTGTCCCCCGCGGTCTCCAGGCGCTTGTTGCTGTTGACAAGACCAATGCGGGTGCATTTTTTCGCGGAGGGTGAGCGTGCGTGCGTGCGTGTGGGTGTTCCAAGAACACGCGGGAGGTCTGCTCTCACGAGTGCGCTGTTTTCCTCGCGCAATGGCCATCATTTCAAACATAGGTGTAGTGGTGTAAGTGCTGTGTCTCCTTTCTAGAGGTGTCTTGAATTCAGAGGCTGGACGTTTTCGTCCAGTCTCCTCTTCGCCTCTTCCGTTCGTAGGACCCTGTCTCGAACATGTGTTTTCCCCTTATCGTTACGACTGCCTTCCAAGCAACGCTTCTGCTTCTTAACCATGATGTAAAATCGTGTCTTTGACGAGGCTCACTCTTCGACTTGCAGGCAGTCTCAGTGATATGTTTGTTGCCAGAGACAGGTAAAATGGCTGGTTTTCCAGGAGTCGTGTCGGGCTTGGCTGTTCTGATAATAGCATAGCCGCTACGAGACGAGAGTCACAATCATCGGGAACATGAACCAAGCTTGACGGCGATCTAAGCAGAACACCCAAACAACCAAGTAGCAGTCCCAAGCATAATCGCTGGAACAACAAAGCCCGTGGTAACGTTGGGCAAAACAGACGCGACTGCATCCCTTCAGCGTCAGGGCAAAATAGATCCCGAAACCACGCCTCGTGGACAACCTAGCTGGGACCGCACTGTTGTTTACCATAGCACACAAGACACAACACCTACAACTGATACCACCCCCCCCACAGCATACCATCCGGGGATCGTACGGGTGCGGCGCAACATGAGCCGAAACGTGACGCTACTCTCAGACCAAGCAGTAGGGCGACAGAAAATACCAAGCACCGCACAATTGGTGATGATAGTATCACCGGGTGTGTGATCTTAGCTTGTGTGAAGGTACGGACGGTAGTCTGGTGTGGTGGGGACGTACAATCCGATCACCAGGTGGTACTTCGGTAGGATAAGGAGTTATCTCCGCCTATGGCATACCTGATGACTACGAGCACAGAGGGCCCCGCGTGCGTGGAATCGATCTTGTTCATGACCTCAGTGGCCAGCGCTCCTGGTGCGTTGTCGTCCAAACACTGGTTCGCCTGTGTCGTTACCCCCCATCCCCAGTTCCGCAACGCCAACACCACCGTCGCCGCGAACAGCGTTCAGAAACAAGTCCGCATGCCATGTGCATGGAGGTAACCGGGAAATAGCGAGGGTGTAAACGAAGCGCATGATCCTGGACTTTGGGCAATGCGGTGAAAAGCATGTGACAAATACAGCAGCTATTTACTGAAAATCTCTCGAATCCTCGGAAGAAGAACATGGGGGAGGGGTAAGGAGGAAGGGCTTCCCTTCTTTTGGGAGACCAAATCAGAAATGCCAAACTGCTATATAGATCACAAAAAACGACGCCGACACCCTAGACAAAGAACAGGGCAACACAAACGGTCATTTCATATTGGCGGGACAACATTTTGCAAGCAACCCCTTGCGGGAGAACGAGTTAGTATGTACGACTTCATAGACCGGGACGCACAGGGCACGTTCCAGGGCCATCAAAACCACGGTTCCGACCTAACGTCAGTGCACTTGCCAACCCATGTTCCAGACGAGTACCACCCATGGAAGCCCTCGCGAGGAATGGAATGTGTGCATTGATCACACCAACACCCAAACTCGCTACAAAGAATCACAGCATTCCCTCAACGGGGCCGCAAATGGGATGGCCCACAACGGGCGCCACATTCCCCGAAACATATGTTCAAGAGACACCGAGCGTTGACGGTTCATGTTGCGCACAACACCCTCACCCACCTGATAAAACCCTACTATGCAAAGTCCGCTGCGGGCGGCGTGAGCATCTACCATGACCGCTGACGTCTCCAGCAGCGGCGCCAGGGTAGACGTGTGGAATAGAGGCACCGCGTCCTTGACAGAAACCTGGCGTGGACCACGCGGGCGGTGGTCATATCAGGAACGTTTGAGGGGGAAGAGGACGCCGGGATCCGTTAAAATTGACAGGGCTTGCCTCCTACAGCAGGTACGTGACAGTTGCCATCCGCAAACATTGCTGCGAGGGCTGCGGTATTACTCAGGACGTAACCCTAACGCTGCCTGTGGAGGCTACAATCGGAACGAGCGTCTGTGTGTAGCACCGCATAGGGACCAAGCTGGAATCTTCCAGCGGCTCTACTGCCCAACCTGCTGGGCTCAAGCAATGCTCCCCGTCATGAAGCATGCATATGTCCACATCACGGCCCTGCTGAACATTCAAGGAGGCCCGTGGGTGCGAGATGCGGCGGGATTGCACACGCTTTACGCTACACGCTACACTTTTACGCTTGAAAGCGAACCTCCGACATTTGGGCAAAAAGAAGCACTATTATACTGAATCCGGGTTTCGCAGCAACAAGGGCTGGACTAGGTCATACGCTGGCCATCAAAAAGCACCCCACGGAAGTATGGCGAGCGATCCGCAGACCGAGGAATATCGCAGGTACAGTAGACCACACTCGCCTGCCCAGTCAAACCTTCTTCTCCCAGCAAGAAGCCGTTCACCGCCGCCCAGGGGTACTTTGCAGCGTGAAGCATAAGCTTCAGGTACGCTGCCTCCTCCACATTCACATTGAAGCTTGACATATTGCTTAAGGATGCCAATGGTGCCTAGCGTTGGGTGTGCACAAGCGAGCACGCCTGCGGAGAGGAGGGAGCAAACCTTGGGGGGGATTGGCAGGGGGCACGCGAATAGTATTCTGAAAAAATGTCCAATGAGCGCACGGTGCCCCTGTCTTGGATTGGTGGATCTTTGGACTGTGGATCTTTGTGTTGGCTGCATCTTGTACAGGCAGCATTCGCTCACGGTCTTTCGCATGGTGGAAGGGTGCCACGGGTGCTCGACGAACAATGTCCCCAGGGATCATGGGCCGCATCAGCGATGGTGGTGCCATCTTAGCGGCGATGGACTTAGGAGCAGCACCTGTGCCTGCGGGCCTGTTGGGCATGACTCCTGGCCGAGACCCTCCTTACCCTGGCAGCAGCAACGACGATATGCCCGTTCAGTTGCAAGCGCTCACGAAGATCCACGCACAGAAGGTGAGCCCATAGTGTGACGAGGTGTGGGGTGCACGGGCTGTGAGAGCGATAGAGGTAGGGACAGTTGCTCTGTCTGTTCAATGGAGATTTAGTGTCTGTGTACTCTACATGTACGGTTGTTTCGCCAAGAGGTCACTATTTTCTCAGCACTAGTCTCCGTCAACTGTAGCGACAGGTCACAGCCGTGCAACAGAGGTCGGTAGCCAGTTGATTGATGTAAACGCACCGCTGATACTGCTATTGGTAAACGAAACAAGCGACGCGCCCCGTACACGCGCGTAGTTTCAAAGGGCCATCTCAGGGGACGATTTGGACCCAACGGATCGCACCATCGATCACCACACCCAATTGTACCGAAGCTGTTGCTTCCAAACAAACTGCCAATGAAAGTTGGTCGTTTTTGGTGTGGGGATCTCTATTGTCCGTATACTACCCAACTCCCGCTAGAGAGACCAGAAGAACAGGGCCTGTACCTGAGCCTTCTCTGATACCACCAAGTGATTTGCAGGTTGACCGACTCTTAACAATACCATTGTGCAGGTTCGGAGTTTGATGAGGAGTGTTGCTGAGCTGAAGAAGAGGCTTGCACTGGCAACCGCGCAAGGAAAGGACCACCGGCGCTCCGCCATGATTCGAGCAATGAGAACAAGATTGAGGGAGCAGGTGAGTCTGACAGCAGTTGTACAGGCGCCGTGCTCTTCAATCCGACAGGACATAGTGTACAGCGCTACCATCCATCTTGGAGTACGAAAACGTGCATTCCCGCCACATTTAGTGGGTCCAAACGAATGGACTCTGCTTCTGGCACTGCGCTGTCAACGCGCAGAGGTTGCCACAGTCTTTAGCCTTTGATCCACACTTTGGGGTTCCGTGCAGATTCTGATGCTCGGTCTACAACCCGCTGTGATGCATGATCTCAAGGGCTCCCTCCGTGGCGGGAAAGGAGCCGAAAGTCGATAACATCAGAGACCTACACGCAGGAGAGCAGCCTATGCCTATAGTAGCAGAGTACAGCTTTGGTCCCCATCCATCGTTAAGTCGCCGACTTCCACCTCTACCCTTCCGTGGAAGTCTACACAGCGAGTCAATTCAATAGATGGACATCTTTTCGGTGATGTCCAAAGGTACCGTCCTCACATACTATACTATTCGTCGACTCTCACATACTAGCTTACACGAGCTCCGAGGCTGACCGGTGATACCTGATTGAACACCTCGAATTCAATATAAAATTATTGCCTGGACACCCACGAGGAACTGGCCTGATTGGTACTCATCCCAAAGGTGTTCCGTGGCCCGTCCCACAAGGACGGGTGTAGCGGCCGCTTACCCCGGGCCGTGAGCAGCCGTGTGACGGCCCGGAGGACACCCCGACACATGGGGCGTGTGTGACGCTCCATGGGACGCCGAGCAGACGAGTGGCTTGGCCCAGACAGTGCATGGGACGCCGATGAGACCCGTGGGACGCGTAAACCCAACCCTAACCCTTGCCCTTGCCCTGGCCGGTACCGTGAGAATGAAAAAACATGATAGCCCTAAGTATACTATCCATGCACCCTGGTCGGGGACTCATGGAATGCCCCAGAGACGTCCCTGTGGGACATCCCGCGCATGCGCCGTCGGCGTAGGGCCTCCCATGCGATGCCCCCAAGGGCAGTCCAGCGTGTGCCGCGTGGGACGTTCCATGAGAAGAACAATAATTTCATACGGCGGCTAGAGTTCCTGGTTTCTGGCGGCGTCCACAATTAGGTTTTTAGAACATGAACGAGTAGACAGCCGCAGAACTTTCAAAAGAAACGTCGCAGATGGTTCAGATGCCCGTCTGTACCCGCGGCTGGGTGAGGACGAAGCCTTACGTAGTCCTTACATAAAGATCCACACAAAGGAGCGGTTTGTCAGCAGGTCTGAGTGTCGTCGGGTGAGTCAACAGGGGCGTCGACCACTGCTAACGAGTCGTTCTTCTACGCCTGGAACTCGTTCACGATTAGTCAAGAGAGCACGGTCTACCCATCCGATCACTGTTTTTTTGCAGCCACCTGGTGTGTGCCCGCAAACAAGAGGTAGTAGCACCGTATGAATGAGACCTTCCCCCTGCCCTCTTCAGAGGATTGTGCATCAAGACCCTTGGTGTGATTCCCCAACGCCACAAACTACTCTGTCGTTGTTCTGTTTGAAAACCTGGCGTGCACACTCGAGTCCAGTAGCTCCAACTCCCATATTGAGCGATAACTTCACAAACGGAAGGCTTGTGATTTGTCTGCCCCCACCGTGCAGTATCTTTCGTAGGTGACACGATCTCTGACAACAATTGCCGCTGCCTCACGCAATGCCGCGCACTTCAGGATCTTGTGGTGGACGTGATCAAGGAAGAACTGGGCCTGAAGACTGGCATGGGAAAGGAAGAAACCAACGACTGGGTCATTCGCAAGACAGTTGGAGGGCCGTTAAGGCGAGTGAGATGTGAATGAGGTTTTGGGGTATTTGGAATGCGAGAACGACCTACAGCGTGTGTTGATACAGTATTGTGAAGGCGTGTCTCCAAGTCTGTAGCCGTCAGGATACGGTCGTTTAGGCATCTGTGTGTGAAAAGAAAAAAAACGCTGTGTGTTGCTCCACCCAAGCCTCAGCTACATACGCCAGCCACAGCGTACAACAGCCGGCGTTTTGCTCTCAGAAGACAGCCAAACATAACGTGTGTTCGGAAGGGATTAAGACCCTGATCCACCGTGGACCCCACGCTCGGTTGAAAGGCTCGTCTAGGATCACTAGCTTGTACATTGCCTAGGATAGGCAGGCGGGCTGAACTACATTCGATCATCATCATTGGGATTCCACGTTTGCTCATTCGTTCATTCGCTGTTGCCATTGCCCGGAGAAGATTCCGGCCTAAAACACGAGAGGAGCTCCAAAACGAACTGTACCGACTGGAGAGGAAGTACAGACAGGCGTTGGACAAGCTCAAGACGAGGTATGACTTCACACATGGCGAAATACATTCCTGACGCTTGTTCATAAAAACCCTGCCAGCACTCTTGCTTCGCCCCCACCTCTCCTCCTGCGGCTCTGGCGAACGTGGCAAATTAGTGGGGCTACCTCTCTCTGCAGGAAACCATCCACTAGTTCACGTTGGGCCGTTCCATTGAAGAAAACGCGGAACTGATTCAGCTCACTTTGGTAAGAGCAGCAGGTTTGAAAACTTCGTGCCATCGTCGTTGTTCTAAGAGACCCGAAGTGTCCACGTTTAGGTAGAGGCGTCGAGAGCACCCATCACCAAGGGCTTCTCTCGTGCTGTTTCACTACGTCCCCAGACGAACAGGTGGAGATCGTGATGAAGGCGGTGTGGTGGGAACAACCGAAGAACGTTCAAGGGTCGAGCTCGAAGGGCAGGTGCGGTGCAATGAAAATATTGAATGTTTCAGGCCCCCTCAGACTTGGAGCCCTACGTCGACGTCGTTATTGATGCCTTGATGGCAACGCTTCACATCTGTTCAGTACCCTCGCCTCTCCTCCTCTTCGAAGGTGGCGAGATCATTTCGGCGGTTCCAACCAATCCAAGGGCGAGAAGATGTCGAACATCACACGATCATCCTTCAACAGTTTCTGAGGTTATCGCCGATCCGCAGCCCTGCCGCTGCCCTCAACCCTTTGCACGATTATAGACCGAGATCGTACCGCGATCGACGTGCCAGGGAGGTGGAGGCGGCGATACAGACCAACAGGCTAGTACGAGGGAGTTGATGCGGCTTTCGGAGGCGTTGGAAGAGGTGGACGCTCTAAGGGTGTCTGTCCGGAGCAGAGACGCGGCGCTCCAGGCCCAGGTTCGACCCCCCGCTGTCGCTGCCAGTGTGTTTTGCCGACAAATGTAGACGGGTTGGTGGGAATAGGACTATTTGCGGGCGACTACTGTCGTGACTTGTTCTTCTCTGTCAGGCGGCGGGGGATGGGCAACGACGCTCGCTAGCCAACACACGGTAGAGTGTGTTTCGTTCGTTTTTTCGGGGTTAATGGCAATTTTGGGAACGACGAACGTGCGGTACATTGCCATCACAGCCCTGAGGCCCAACGTGTTCTATACCACATCCCGCCCGGCGGTGATTTGAAACTGAGGGATATGCTGTAGTTTGAAACCGGAACGATTTTTGGCATGTGGAGGAAGAGGAAACCGACTGTCGTGTTTGAACAAGCAACCAATAAGTGAACGTGTTTCGATCCTGCTTCACAACGAATCCTAGCGCATATGAATAGCCCGTCGACGAGAAATTAGACTCTATACCCTGTTTTCTGGCCGTCGAACAACAGGCGCAGCTCCACCCCCTCTCATTTGGTGCGATCCACCCAATTCTTTAGGCGGAGGCCATTGACCAGCTTCAGCTCGAAAAAAGGGATCTTAGGGGTGTTCAAGAAAAGCTAGGGCGCAAGGAACGGCGGGCGAGAGAGTTGAAGAGGAAGCACGCGAACCTCGGGGAGCAGCACACGGCTTTGTTGGAGGATTTCGAGGCGAGCCAGGAGCAGGTGAGTGAGGACTTTGGAATGTTGGGCATTGTCTTGAATTCCCAGGCAGGGGGTGTGGTATCCGCCGCGACACAGCAGTGTCATCCCTCCTCGGGGTGCAAGCGTATCGTATTTGCGCCATTTCGTTGTGCAATCAGGATGTGTTCCACTGCCTCACCGAAGATGTCGATGTCGCCTCTCAAATCCTCTTCCCACCCTTTGGTTAATCTCCTTCTCTAACCATGCCCTGCGAGGAACACGGCCGGCTGTTGCGGAGTCTGCGGCCAGTACTTGTTGCAGTAACGTATACCGGGATTTTCAAGGTTGGAAGACACGACAGAACGTCGATGCTTCGAGGCGCCCTGCGAATTGCAGCAAAAGAAAAACGTTTCTCTGAAATCACGCCTTGGTGAATGCCGAATTTTCTTGCGACCTGCGACGCCCGGTTGTGATACATGGCGACTTGAATCGGGATGTTTTGCTTTCGGGCTTGCAACAACCTGGGTCGTGTCGTCGGAGAGCCAATCGTGAAATTCGGCTGCTCATGAAGCGGCGCTTTTCTTGTTGAAAATTGTCGGCGTGTCCACATTCTGAGCCAGGTCGATCATCTGAAGGCGCAGTTGGCTTTGCGGAAAGAGGAGGCCTTGGCTGAGGCGGACGAATTCCGAGAGCAATCTCTACGGCAGGCAGAAGAGGTGGGAAATATGTTTTTCGCCGCCATGAACCACGCGAACGTCTGATTGGTCAATCGACTACCCCGCGAGTAAGTGCATTTGAAGGAAGCAGGGGAAACCCGTGGTGCCTTAGATTCCACCCGATGAGGGTTGCTCAGCTGGCGTGAAACCCAACCAACGCTTTTTGAGGAGGAAAGGGATTCGTTGACTTCGTTCTGTCGGGGTTCCGCACAACCTAATAAACAGCTGACTTCCTCGTAGGGTTCCGGCCGACCATGCCCAATTCATAGACATATTGTCGCTTGCTCACGCTTATTGACTGAAAACTCGAAGGTGGGCGTGTTGTTGAAGAGAGAGGAAGAGCTATCCACCGCTCTCGAGGAGGAGGTCGCGTCAAGGCAGCGGGAGCGGAGAGAACATCACCACGCCGACAGACAGGCAGGAGGGCAATACCCACGCTTTCATATTCTGCCGTTATTGAAGGGTAGCTGTGGGGCTGTCTGTTCGTATTTGCAAGCTCAGACGTGAAACTGTGATGGCGGTGCGTTTCCCGCGGCTGTTGTCTCGTTGGTGAATGAATGGTCCGTATAGTTTATTGATGAGGAGTTGGTGAGGCTGGAGGAAGGTTGAAAAGAAAATCACGGTGCTTGCCGTGTCGCCTGTTCGTTCTTCCTCCCTCGCCCATGGCTCGGTAACACTTTCAGGCAGTCGCACGTGCGGAGGCGGCGGAAAAAAGTCTGCAGGTCTCCGTAAAGCAAGAGACGCGGCTTCGGGAGAAAAACAAGACGATGATGGCAGAGCTTCAGGTACCTGAAGCTCCATACTTTATGTGGGGTCTCGAACACGGATATCATTTTTCTTGGAACGTGCATTCATGAGTTTGGGAGGTTGCTGGTCATGCGACATCGCTTGACACATCATCATATGGGTGTGGCATGGTTACACCGGCCGAGGGGGGGACACACGTACAGCAGGATACTCTTTGCTGATACGCAACAAGTTTGTTCGTTCGTCACAAGTCGGCACAGAAATCTTGCTCGTGAGCAAGGAAGAGACAACTAGGTATCATGGCAAAGAAGGGCATTTCCGCTTAAACTAAATATTGTGTGCCGTGTCAACATAATTTGCAGTAGTGCCATGTACTGGTGGCACCAGTGAATGCTGGCCTCTACGCGGGACACTTGCCTCTTGTTCAAGATGAAAGACAAGATACATCCCTCTAACAATTGGCCGAAAACTCTTTACGGAGCAAGAACTTGCCTCTTCATCTGACCCTGAGAACCTCTTTTCCCACGCCAAGTCCCCCCCTCCACGAATTTCCTTCCTGCTTGCTTGGGAGACAGCGTCTAGGCAAAGAAGCGGGAGAAGCCGCGAGGCTGCGCGAGCGTGGCAGAGACCTGGCGGTAGAAACGAAACGCCTGGCGAAAGAGGCAGAGGCCCGCCAGGGCAGGCTCGAGGAGGCACGACAGAAAGGGGCCACGGCTGAGGAAGCTCTGCGGGCGTCTAAGGTCTGTTCTATCATCATTCAACTGTGGTCACACGCGTGAGACAGAGTTCTCCCGGCATACCCTTGGTACAGTTGATAGTCTCTCCAGCAAGCGACGACGACCTATGAGAAGAGCGAGGTTTTGCCTCATATGCACAAGAGCGCGAAGAGCTCCACTGGGGGAGAGAGGTTGAAGATCAGACGAAAATCAACTACGCCAGGTTCTGGTTGACCGTTCTCGTTTACTTGGATTTGGTCAAGGTTGGGTGAACAACCCACTCGAGAAATTGTTATCGTCATGCACGCCGTGACGGATGTTATTCACTTGTGTGGGCCATTATAATATGACAATCGTGAGCGAACCCACTCGGGGATAGGAAACACAGAGTGGCTCTCAATCTGTGGATGTTTTCAACGAACTGGCGTATTCGCCGAGAACAGACGTTCATGGCTTTTGCTTCCGTTTTCCTCGCCGTTTCGTCCAGTGTACGAGAACTCGAGTCGGGAGTGCAACGTGTCAGAACCCTCAAGCTTAGGCCAGGGCTCCCCCCTTGCAGTACAAATAGTTCTGCAACAGTATGGCCTGCTCGTTGGTGTGAATACATATGTTGTTCTGGTGAGTGAACTGATAGCCTAGCTCGCGTGGACGGTCTTAGTTTCGGGGTCGTTGGCTCTCGCTCACAGTCCACCACGTCGTCTCGATGTCAGGAATCGCTCGAAGCGGAGAAGTCGAGCAAAGAGGCCCTCGCTCGGGAAACTAGCGAGATGAAGGTCTTGCTGGGCGAAAAACTGGCGCTGTTGGAAGCCGAGAAGAAGAAAGCTGATGATGAAGGGGAGGCCAGGCGTCGGCTGGAGTCTATGCTTCTCGCCGAGAAGAAAAAAGAGGAGGAAATGGTGGGTTGAGGAATGACCGAACACACCGGTAGGCCTACGTGTGATTCTTTTCTCGTTTCCTTACCGCACAGCGACGAGAAGCAAGGAGAACGATGGTGATGGCGCTCATTCTGCGGGAATCATTTGTTCGGGTTGGCCGCACTTCACGGCGCGCCACGCACCTGCACAGTCAGAATGTTTTTGGTTTGAAATATATAGGCCATTGCATCCAACGAGGATTGGCAGGAGTCATCAGTTAAACAGAACAGTTGGCAATGGATTCGTGTGCTGCGAAAGAAGAGTTAGGAAGCCAACCGGGCGATGTTGAAAGATCTCGAACTGCAGCCAAGGACGAAGTTACGCAACGAGTTGATATTCGTAATTGGTTGTTCATACTTTGCGCTGATGCCTTTGGGCCGCGTCCGTTCCCTACGAAGGGCATTGCTGCAGCCGCCGCCGCCGCTCAAGCCGCCGCCCAAGTAGCCGAAGCTAATGCCGCTGCGGCTGCTGCGGTTGCGGCACACGCAGAAGTATTGGCAGCAGAAAAGGAACAGCAGGATCCGGAGAGGAAGAAGGGGGGGGACAAGGACACGGAAAGAGACGACGAGGCCGGAAAGAAATTCGACCTGACCGAGTCGGAAGAAATAATAGAAGAGGTCGGTTCACGTAGATGCTGTTGACTGGTTTAAACCGAAGTGATGTGATACTCATTCAGGTGGCGGAAGCCCCTCAGTGTTCACGTCGGAAAGCTCATCTGCGGCCCCTAAAGGTTGCCGAGATCATTTTGGGGAGTTGATAATCTAGGCGAGATGTAGGAACTGTCTTGAAGCCGCAACAAGGGTTTGAAGGCCGTATCGAATAAGTAGTCCCTGATCTGGATTCAGGCGCTCACGGAAACGTTCACACCACGTGGTGTGTGGGAGAGGCCAAGAAAGGCCCAAAAGCAATTCAGGATACCTCATTTCTAGTTGGTTGTTAAATGACTTGGTGGTCTTGCCCAAAACGGCTCACAACGTCCTTTCTTTCGTTTCGGTGGCGAACACCGCGTCCTTATGTCAACAGATGGAATCCGAGCTGCGTGAACAAGCGGATCGAGTCTTTTCGCTGGAAGAGGAGCAGCAGGCCCTGAAACTGCAACTCGAGTCCGCGAAGAAGGTGACAATTTGACGCAATTTTCGTCCAGTCCGTGGAACATACTGGGAGTATCCGATCGGCGAGGACCAGACGCTCTGTTGCATCTTTCCGACTGAACGAGCCTCCATTTCTGTACGGAAATTCACCGTTGGGGTAGAGATGACGGTTGCGCACAAACGCCAGTACAATTGGCCATCTGTTGGTGAAATATGTTCTCACCTCAAACGTTGACGAGAAGATCTACGTAGGTTTGTGCAGACTGGATGTCGTACGTGTGGAAAATATACTTCTTTGTATTTGTTGTCGCATTGCCTTCACTTCAAATCGCTCACAGCACTTGTGCCGGTTACCCAACCCGTGGTCACACAGAAGGGTCCGTATCTCTGAAGCCCCGTACCCACCCCTCCTGCAGTACTTTGCCTTCGGTTTTATATGCCAGAAGAGTGCAGCACTCTCTTCCCTCTATGTGCACACGAACAAGCGTTTTCCACCCACGCCAGGAACGGAAGCGAGACAAAACCCCACTTTGCAAGAAAGCTCCCTTACGCCGGGATTGGAACCCCAGGCCACTACTGTAGAAGGTTTTCAAGGATACCAACTACACTACCGGGGCGACCCAGCACTTGTGTCTACCTACAAGAATGCGTTCGCTCGTGTCTTAGGCGGGGTGGTCCACATGGACAGTTTTGGTTTCGACTGAGGTACAGCCTGTGTACCGCCTACTTGTAATCTGGTCTCATGGATCGAGCAGGCAGCGGACGACCTTAGCGCGAAGAACGCGGCGCTAACGGCACAGCTCAAAGCCGCTCCCGCCACCTCTCCCGCCGACCCTGCGGCCGCCGTCACGGCTGGAGCCGAAACCGAAGCCGAACCTGCTTCATCCAGGAAACTAGAGGAGTCAATCCCCGGGTCTCCCCGTCGGCCTCTCCGCCCTTGCTCGTCGGCAGAAGAAAAGGTGACGAAGAGTAATGAAACAGTGTCCAACAACTAGCACCCCAAACCACGCTTTGGTGGGGAGGCACACTCTCGTGACGGTTTCGCAAACAATCGCTGCGTGTCTCTTTTTCAGAGCGAAGGTCACATTGACGCGGGTAGAAGCACCGTTTAGTTCAGCGATGACACGCACCGCCCCTCACGCACCCCGCAACAACGTGCCTGCGTACATTCACGGCAAAGGAGTGGCAGCTGGGGGAAGAGCTTGTTGCCGCCAAGGCCGCGAAAAAGGCTGCGCAAAACGAGGTGAGTCACATCGCAACGTTCGGCTGCCGTCGAGTACAAACGATTCCAAAGGGTTTCGCCGGGAAAGCATAAGACTGCGGTGGCTGCGGTGCCCGGGCACGACGGTAGCATAGTGGAAAGGCCAAAATTTCAGCTTTGTTCCCTCATCGATCGACACGAAGTTGCCGCCATTGGTGTCCTGCACAATTGCAATATGTTGGCATCTGACACTTCGTGCACGCCAACGATCCGACCGACGGCCAGCTAGGTTCCTGAATAAAAAATATACGCTCAATTAACGGTAATCGCAAACCATTGCCCCTTACACCTACGACCCCGGTCTCCCACACTACTGGGAGTTTTGTTAAACCGCCCATGGACACTTCAAGGAGTGCCTGTGAGCTGCCCATCGGCCGCATGGGCAGCTCATGAAGTGCAACCTAGAACTTCTCCACTGGCTTATCAACCTAGAGCTTAACCACACAACGCCAACCTAGCCCGTACCTTGTGAGCTTGGAGTTAGGATAAGCGTTAGCGTTAGGATTAGCCGTTTTCATGCCCCTTCCAAAGCATATAAGCTATTGTTTAGGAGTACCCGGGACCGGTTGAAGCGCATTCATTGATGTTCCTTGGGCTGCCCATGAACCATGGGCAGCCCATTACCTGCCCACGAATTGGCCACCATGGGTCGCCCATAGGCTTTCCAACGGGCGTTTCCCATGGGCGGCCCATGGGCACTTTTTTGCCCCAAAACGGCTCGCTGCCGATGGGCAGATTATCACCGGAAGTGTGGGAAACACCACCACGTACCTGAGTGGCGAATATGTATTTTATATCCTCTGCGTTTGGAGCCCACTTCGAGCAAGTCCCGTAGTAGGTACATCATGTGTCGTGGTTACGTTTCACGCAGAGTTTGGGCGGGTAGGTGCTGCATTGATATGCTGCGCAGCCAGTTTGGGATCATGGCTTGAGGGTCGACGCTAGCGCCCCCATAGGGATACCTGGGCGGAAACATATGGTTCCCCATCGCATGACTATTTATATTACAAGATACATCGAACGTCCGCTTGTACATCTAGCGTAGGGTCACTTGAGGGTTGCTCCAAACCAAAAACGTGGGGAAATTGTGAAGTCGGTGGCATGGTTTGAACGTGTGAAACCCAGCACTTCCCGCACGAATGGCGCAACGTTGGGCGTATGGATTGAGATGAAAGGCGGTTTCGAGTCGAAGCCACGGCGCGAGGTGATGTACCCCCTGCCTCAAGAATACCAACGCTCCATCACCTCGCCTGTTGCTCAGTGTGTTGCGTTGAAGCTGGAACTCCAAGATGGAAAGGCGAGTGGCGACCTGCACAAGGCCAGGGTCAAGGCCCTCGTCGCCGACAAGGATTCATTCATTCTTGACGATGCCCATGGTGGCGGCAGTGGCTTGGAAGCAGCTGCTCCAACCGGCGTGGCGGGGGACGTCTAGCGAATTGTTGCATCGATTAGCTTGGTGGGGCCAAGGCCGAATCTATCGGTTTTCAGCACTCTCTATGGGCGCAACAAGTGACCTCAACATTCTCACGCAGGGGGTTCGAACGACACTTCTGCAAGCCTGCGGTGGATTGCGTAGCGCAGGAGTGCTTCGCGAAAATGAGTCATGCGGTTGTTGTTGCTCGTGCTCATTCCGAGGTCAGGCTTGTTGCTGTCACCGGCGGTAAGAAATCTCGATGGGAACATCCCTAGAATCATGGTTCGCAATGTGTGCCGGCGGCGGCAATGTGTTGCTGAAACCTTTTGTTGCATTCATGCCGTACAAGAATGACTCGTTTCCACTGGATGAGTTTGGTGCGGTATTGTGAAGGTGTGGCCAAGTCTAAAACCGTCAGGTGAAGAAGCTTGGGCGTCTGGGTGCGGAAAGTACTATTGCTCTGTGTTTGCCTAACTGGCCTTGCATCACATGCCAGCTACTTTGCAGGTGAGAGAATAGATGTACAGCGACTGACTGCAGTGACAGTGCAGATGCCACGGGCATAGTCGTTTTTAGCAGGGCGGAGAGTACCTGCGGACTGTGGTTCGCAGATGCCCGGGATATTTTCATCTGTGGGTTAAAACCACCGGAGCTTTCGCGAGTACCTGGTCAATGCAATACATGCTTCGACACGGTGCATCAGCAAAAGCGCACGTTTGAGGAAATTGAAAACGTCTGGCTACTGTATGCGAGATTCCCAAACACGTGGTCGACATTCGTTTATCACGATATTTACACCGTCTACGGTAGTGTCCTTAATTCGGACTGTTCGTGAGCAGAATCAACACCTTCATTGACTAGAGCTGGCCTTCCAAGGCAGTATTCTATGTCCAAGGCCGCGCCCCGGAACTCAGATCTGTGCTGCTGGCTACGGCTTGAGACCCCAACCTAGAGATGCTTAACAGCGTTGCTCCCCGCGGAAAGCCACCAACCGGTAGCACGGTCTGAGCATCATTGCTACCAAGACATTTTCACAGCGGCTTGGCGAGAAAGGACAACGTCGACCGATGCCAAGCTTGGTCACGAATGTCGCCGACGTTTAGCGATCCTGTACTCGTTGGCAATAGTTTTAAGTTTGGTTGATGCGGGGGACCGTGTAATATTGATTGAGTTGAAGACAGAAAGAGGAGAACGGAAGGGCAAAGTGGGCAGGCGGGCCGGCAAGCGGGCGGGCGCAGACAGACGGGGGATGAATGAGGTTCCAAGCCTTACTTTTGTAACAACAAGGCTGATTGCAGTAGATGGTGTTCCTTTCTGTCACTTGAAGCGTGTCTGGACACTTTTTCTGCTTGGCGAGAAGCGATGGGTGCTAAGCAAGGCGAAAAACCGTGTTGCCACAACACGTCTATCATTCCTTAAAAGCGTTGATGGTGGCGGGTGCCCAGCATTGCAATGTGCAAGCCGGACAAGATGAGTACCACAATTGCCACCATACACCAATTCACTGCAAAGTTTGATTTCTTTTTTGGGATGGTCAATAGTATTGGCAACGCAACCTTTCTCACTTACCCCGACATGTTCCACGGGAAATGGTTTCGCCGCCATTGCGCGTGAGTCGCCCAAAGCGGCCTCGAGCTCCTGGTAGGCCCGCTGCTGCAATGCCTGCCAAACAGCAAGAGGAGCATTTCGGCTGTGGTCAAAAGCTGGTGACTCAAGAAATGCGTCGTTTAGGCGTCGTGTGTTGCGCTAATAACCTGGTGAATTTTGCGGGCGTCTGCGCTACGAAACAATTTCATAACTTGAAGTGATGGGAAACCTCGCGCAGTAACATCAATATCCAAAACAGCTATATCAAGGCCACCACGGTAACGTCTGCAGGCAGGAATGTTCCGTTCGTCGCCATTTTGAACAGGCAGGTCTATGCCCTTCACCCGACTTGCGGCACCAATTGCACCTTGTACCACTAAACTACGGAGAGAGCTCCTTGTCTGTCCTTGCGCACAAAGCACTCGCGAGCATAAACGGGTCAACCCCAAAGTAGTCCAGGAACCCATTGCTTTCACCTCGTCCAGCCATTTCATGACGGTGCGATTGTGTTGTTGTTGTCGCATATTTGCCCAGCAACTTTGCCATCCGTACTGGTTCTACTATTGGCGGGGCTTTCAGTGGTCGCAGGCTACCTACCCGAATTTGTTTCGTGTGCTTTAGGGGTGTTGGGTCGTGCTTTGAAGACAGCTTACGTTTGGGTGTTGGCAATTAGAAGCACGTCATGTGACAGTTGGATCGCGTAGAGCGGAAAGCCCTGTAAAGTCCAACATGGGTCAGCCCCAACTTTTCCACCTCCGTAGGCCTCTACCCCCGAGCTAGGCAGTAGTGAATGTCCCAGTGTGGCAACAACACGGTTACACCGCAGTTTGGACCTCTTGGGCATTGGTCAAACTTTCCCAATACCGTTAGGGCAAGCATCATGACAACAATATTATAACGAAGCTCACCTGGGTGTTCTTGAGCTGTTGTATTAGGGACAGCTCCTTTTGCTCCATGCGTGCTACCTGAATAAGCCACGAAACCGAAGCATGTACACGTCGGAATTTAATAACACCACTAAAAGTATTTAGGTATTATTTCCACTGAAAGGTAGTCGCTGCATCGACTACATCTGTTTGCAATCGATGGTGCAAGCCATTACTCTCTATTGCGGAATCGTGCCATAGAGAACCTTCAGATTTTGGATGCCATGCTTCGACACAGCACAGTCGCTTGAGCGAAGCCCATCACTTGGCTTGCATCCCCTCATCTCACACTCTGAGGTCCTCCTACACCTTTCTGTGGGCAGCTCCAACTGACTACCCTTGCTATAACAGGCGCGGAAATCCCCTTCCCGCGAAAGCGTCGCCGCCGTCGCTCTTCCAGTTTCTCAAAAGCCTACCTCTTGTTCGCGGGCCGCGATCTCATCCTCTTCCCTCCTCACGCGGTCCTCGTAGGACCTCCGGGACTCCTCGACTAGGCGTGCCCTACCCTCCAGCCGGGCATTCCTGGCCTCCTCTTCCCTCTGTTTGATATCGGACCTGACAGGTTCGAGAATACATAAAGTTGCTCGGCGGAGTTAACTCAGAAACGAAGGTACGTGGCAACAGTGGCAGGTGGCATTAGTGAACGGTCTCTTTCGGAGGCAGTCATCAGCATCATCCGATAAAATGAGGTGCGACTCCAAAGCGTCAGAGACGGCACCCACTCTATCCGACTTCCAAGGATCATCCCATGGCACTTACGAGTCCACCGGCGTACACAACATGTCCCTTCTTTTGTTTGTCGTTTTACAAGCGAGGAAATACCGCTACATGTAGCACGTTGAGCGAGCATGCACCTCTTTTCCCTGTTCTCTCGAACGTGATCCTGCCTCATGGTGATGATATCTTGCCGGATCTGCTGCTTCTGTTGCCGTACCTGCGCAACGTACAAGTAGGCGCTTGACATACCATTGCATACGCATAGCGTGGGCACCCGTACCTCCATGCGTACATCTGAATCGAGAACCGCATGTTTCACAGATAATAATATGCTCACCACAGCCACAAACCGTATGAGCTTGGCCTGCCGGAGTAGAACATCGGGGTGATTCTGCCTGCCACTTCCGGGTTCCATAAATTTGGGCTGGGCCACCGACTGTCCTGCTTGAGCGATCTATCCTCAAGAGGTGCCAAATGCCCGGTGCTACTTTCTGGGGTTGTCGCCCAAGGGTGCGTCATTGGTCTTTCCGGCTCTCCTTGGCCGTTGGCATGCATTGAAAAAAAACAGCTGGATCGAAACACTGCTCCCAAGTTCCTTTCAGAGTACTCGTTGTTCTCCTCCTTCACACATGAGTCTTGCCTCGCCTCATGGAAGCGCTGCATCTGCCCGGGGACAACAGAAATCCCAACTACCTTCTCCTCATTATCTAGGGCGAAAACTAAATCCGTATTGTCGCTGAAAAGGGTACGATTGGGACTTTGTACGGGTCCCTCCCCAATGGTCAGTTTTTGGCGTACCTGAGCGACACTATTTTTCCTAGCAGCGGCAAGTTCATGGTATATCCTAATGCGGTTGAGGCGGGCCGTTTCTTCGACGGCTTGGTTCCTCTGATTCTGGAGCTTGCAATTATCCGCCTGGTAGAGGGAAGCAAGACGTCAAGAAACACACATTGCGAAGAGACCCTTGTAGGAAATGGAAAGAGAACGCCCGTCCCGGTTCGTATTTGTTCTGAACGAAATGGTTTGACCATGAATGGAATACAAGCTTTTCTATCTTCGATCGGCGCCTGATTGTTCGGGGGGGATGTTCGTGGCGACCTGATCAAGACGTACCCTCGATCTTCTATCAAAACGTATCCGGTGCCCCGTTCCGCAAGATACCGCCCGAAAACAGATAATGGACAAAACGGAAGCAATTCCCCCTAGCAACTCCGACACGCACGCACACGCAGGGGGGTTTGGGCGTGAAACTTGCCTGTCTTTCTGCAGCGGAGATGCGCTCCACCACCCGTCTTTCGTTTTGCTCCCGTAGTCTCAGTATCTCTTCTGACCTCTGCTTGGTTGTCTCGATCTTTTTCCATGCCTGTCAACGCAATGTAACGAACGTACTGTCGGCGTTGCCCTGCCCATGTCGGAAGTACCAGAAGCTCACACACTTGAGAAACGGTGGTCCCATCTGATTCATGTTATCTTGGAGCTCCGAAGAGACTACAGGGTGGGTTCGTGGCAACGTCCGTGTACCAACATGGGCTTTCCCGAGCACGTTGTTTTTTCTACCGCCGATGTGTTCGCCTTGTTTCTCTTCTTTTTCCAAGCCCCGTGCCATGCATGGTGATACTTAGAATTGAGTTTTGTGGAGATGAAACTGCTCGAGGGGCCATAGAGCTGAGCCTCGCTGCTCCGATCCCAATTCTGCTCTTTCATGGGGGAACACCTTGACGACGTAGATCCGTGTCCGCCACGTATTTACGTGGCACGCTTGCAATGGCGGGGCAACACGATCGTCACCCTGTGTGTGATGCTTCTGTCAACACGTCGGGTTGGATCGTCGCGTTGCGTGCCACAGGTAGGTCCTGGTGGTGGTAGGACCAGGTCCCGTGACCATCCACGGTAGTACATGCATTGTTCTGCCGGTCGAATCTACGCAGATGGGCTCCGATGTGTGCGAAGCCGACGTTTTACACCACGCTTGTGTATAGGAATATCATATTTCGTGCATGTCTTTACCTTGGCCTCTTCTTTTCGAAGCAAGCTAATTCGGTTCTGCAGGAGGAGGGCGTCGTGGTCTGCGTGACGCTTCCGCTGCTGCATCGCCAACAACCGGCCCTGTTGTGCCATCAACGCGTGGAATACAGGCGAGAAGCGTTGGTAAAAACGTCCGGGAGGCGAACTGCTCTAGTCGTGCCTGCGGATCGATAAATACGTAGTGATGGGTACACCTGTCTCCATGTCAACGTTGGTAGTGCGTCAATGACGGGGATGATGCATTTATTTATGTAGTCTATGTAGTCCAGCCCTTCATTTTATGCCGAAGGAGATGAACTTGTTGAAACGCCGAAGGTGTCTTCTTCAAATCCTAGTCTGTGGTATTCTACGTGTCGGGCAGGTCTATACACAGGCAAGAAATTTCTGTGCGCTACCCGTGTGCAAAGGCAAATAGTTGTCAACGACACCTGGACGCTCGAATGTATCTAGGCTATCCCCCACGGCGTTGTCACCCGCGTCACAATAAGTATGTCGTACCACCTGTCAGCGACAGTGTAGACTATGGGCAACACCACCAGGTCAACAAATGAGACCGCCAACAACCGAGTGGAGAAAGGGGCGCATGCCTCCAACAACTGCACACTCCACCATTTTCCTTCAGATTTGGCCGCCTACTGAAGCTGCTTACATATGTAGTGAGCGCAGACACCTAAGGATGTGAATTGAACTAAACACCACCGCTGTACCTGGTAGGGGAAAGTCTCGCTTGGCAGAGGCGTTGGCGCTGCTGCCCCGTTGAAAGATTCCATGGTTTCTACCTTCCCTGAAAGAACGCGATACAGCCTTCGTGTGGACGCTGTCCACTGCCTTATAAATTGGGCTATACCCTGCTTCTCAGCCCTGAGATTGTGGCAAATGAGGTACAGTATACTCCTTCGAAAAAGAGCGGACGAGAACGGACGACCACCCTACTATCGGAGCCGTTGCCGAGTGCGGCACAAATATGAACAGCTGACTTGGTGCTCAACGGACTAGCTGCGACTACAGGGCAGCTGGGTATTACGTGCTCAGAATGTAGCGCTTGGGCCTTCTGATGGATTCCCGTTTGTATCTTAGTCGCTCGGTTAGGGTTCCTCGACTCCGTACAACAACCGAAGACATGAGCACAACAATCTCCGCCGTTTCGTTCGAACCGGTAAGTTTTTTTTTTTCCCAGGAGCAAATCACCCCGCCCCATCTCCCTGGCTCTGTCACCACCAGGTAGCTACGGCGAGGCCTATGCGGCTTGCTGAGCAAGGTTCCATTGAAGAAAGTTGACGTCCATCGACTAAACACTACACCTGCGCCCCAGCTGGTGGTTGGGTGTTGGTTTGTGTCGCGTCGCGGTCACGACTTCACGGTTGAAGAATGCGGCGCAATTATGTAGGATGCCAGGTACGTCAACCCGGTGACCCCTTTTTTTGTAGCGCAGGAACATGGAACCGTTCGACTGTGGGTATATCTCGAATGGGTAGTCTTTCTGTCTGTGTTTTTATTATTCCTTAATGGAACACATGAGGCACCGTGCCCAGACCATGTAGGAATGCTGATAAGGAAAAGGTAGAACGAAAACGAGGGTACTACAGTCCGGAGCGCCTCCCGCTCGCCTGTATTTTCGGAAACGGTTGGTCCTCGGCACAGCGGTAGTTTATAGCACTGCTGTGTAAGCGGTCTCCTTCACTCAATATAGTTAGTGGCCTCCACCGCAGTACCAGATTAATAGTCTATTCTTTCTGCGCTTTGAAAGCTAAGATCTATATGCTTCACGCAGCGACTCCTGATTCTACTTGCGACGAACAGAGTGCACACTTAGATATTTAGCTACCTAAGAGCTACCGAAGAGTGGGTGATTGACAGCCTCGCCGACCCTCTGCAGCCGGCCGCCATTTAAGACCAGAGGGAAAATCTTCGTAAGACATGCCAGCTGGCAGAGACATGGGAATTCACATGCGACTTCGACGTAGCCCGCAGTTTGCGAACGAGCTTCCGCGTCCTCCTCTGCAGTGTCTCTGACAGCCCCATCGGCGCACATCACTCATCCGGCGATTCTTCTGAGCGGGCTCTGTTCATTACACATCCCGAGCAGAACTGGGCATGCCGGATAGCATCCATCGGATTGGGGGAGAGGCGGGCGCAATACTCCGTACAGGTCAAGGGGGTCGTGTATTGGACAAGCTTGGCATGAAACATTCGGGACAGACTAAGGGGGCAGTGAGGGTGGAAGAACCGGGGGATGAGTGCTCGGAGGCATCTTTGAGGAGAATCACAGGCGAGGAGGATCTACGAGATGTACGTCACCTTGCCCTTGCTGTGGATACAAAAACGACACAGGTGACTACTCTACATACTTTTAGTAAACAATCCCTTCCGCAAGGAAACCTTCTATGAGACCACGGGTTGGAGTATACGGCACAAAAGCTGTGAGCGTTGATTTGGAGTAAAAAAAAATACAATCCTCTCGGCCAGCTCGATCGTGTGCTTCAGTACTCTCTGCCTCTCGGCGTCTTCGATGGTGTGCTCCGCGATACACATCACCGGCACAGCATACCGCAGCACATGATATCTCGTACGCATGCAAAATGGTAGCTTACGGAACGAGATAACAGTACATTTTCGGGCTTGCACGCATCAATAGCCTTGGTAGGGTTATTCTGTTAAGTTAACATGTTGTCCCAGTAGCCTTCGTCAGGTTTTTCTAATAAGTAGACATGTTGGATAAAGCATCCCATCGGGGAAGTTGGGTTAGGGTTTGGGTTAGGGAATAGGGTCTACGTAACCGCACGCACCCACTGCAGATTAACCACAAGGAGGACTCGTCCTAGCCTCCGAAATGAAAACGCCCATGCAGTCAAAGCTCTAGACATCAATTTATACATTTTCGCGTGAGTGATACCGGCACAATTAGCCGGCACGACTACACCACTCTACCAACAAGGAGTGTCTTCCTCTAACGCCCCTCCTCGCGCTCCTGCGCCTAGGTGGATCACTTGGGCACCGTATTGCCTCTCCTCACAGAGCTTCGCCTTGAGCGGGGGAGCGTTCTGGCGTCCTTTCGAGATCTGGGTAGTTCTCTCCCTAATCTCCGAGTCCTATGGCTCTCGGCGTGCGGAGTTTGCCACCTGGACGGAGTCGGGGCGCTGACGGGGCTCGAGGAACTGTATCTGGCGTTTAATGACGTGGAAGACCTTACGTCCATCGCCCTCCACGACAGGCTCGAGGTTGGTGGCATTGGGTCTAAAGCCAGAATTAAAGAAGCAACTCGAGGTTGTTGACGGGGCACGTTGGTCTCTTCTTTAAAGAGCGGTGTAGTTGTTCATGGACATGGGCTGTTGAGTCGGAAGATTCTCCCACGAACTGTTGTTGTAGTTGTTCATGACGAAGGCTATCGGCGCGGGAGGCGCCACTGCTCGCACTTGTACCCTTTGGAAGACAGTGCGGTATGTCGCCTCTCTCCCTGCAGTGCTGAGGTATGAGACCTTGCGGATTTGTTTTTGCATGACTTACCAGCTCCGAGTGACGGCAGTACTCTCCTCCAAGCTCGGTTTTACTACGACTTGTTGTTGCGTGGTCTGCTGGGAGGGATGGTCTAGGCACAAACGATTCAGCCAACACCATTGGCATCGTTGCGCATCGCGAGTGTCACGCTTACTCGTGGGAGATCACTCTTCTGGCAGGTGTTGGATCTCGAGTCGAACTGCCTTAAGGACGCGGAGCAGGCGATCCACCTGGGCACGTGCTCTCGCCTCTGGTCGCTCACTCTGACCGCCAACCCGCTTTGTCGCGATCATAACTACCGGAGGAGGATGGTCGAAGCCGTGCCGCAGCTGGCCAGCCTCGACGAGAAGGATGTCTCAGGTGATGCAACTTTTTCTTCCTTTTTGCTGTACATCGCCATCATTCGCCGCAGTGGTGTTTTCCCTCGGTGGCTTTTTGATGTGTTTGGACACGGCAATCCACATCTGCCCCGATATTGTCATATCAACAAACTGCCCAATGCCGCCAGACCAATACGCTAATGGACTTGCCATAGCGTGCGTGGTGGGCGACCCATTCAAAGCACCTCAAAATACGTGGCAACTTCGCCTCCTCGATCTCTGGTCTCGCAGATGACGACAGACGACCACCTCCCGCTTCGTCTGAGGAGGAGGATGACCAAAACCACATCGAGAGCTGTCAGCCGTCCAAGACGTCATCGATGCCGCCATGCCACCAGGTTTTCATATCCACGCTTGGGGAGCAGGCTCGAAATGCGAACGTGTCCGGAAACCTCACAGCAGTTACTCCTCTCCCCGCTGCTTGGCACGAGGGTGGACAAAACGTTCAAGAGTTGGGGTTGGAAGAAACTCCCATCGTGGAAAACGAAACCAACGAGGCCGGGACCATGCCGGCAACGGCCAACGCCGATGCTGCACCAAGCAGAGGAAATCGACTGTCGGTAACGGCAGAGGGTAGTTCAGGACAACGGTCCCCGATTCATGACCAATTGCGTGAGGGTTGTGGGGACGTTGCTTTTGGGGACGCAGCAGTTTCGACAACAGGGGGTCAGCAGGATGCTTTCTCCCTTGGCCGCGCGCACTTGTTTGTACCTGCAAAGCACGATATTGGAAGTGGAGATATGGCAACAGGTGAAAGACGAGGAACATCAGTTGCCGGAGGATACAAAGCTCTTTTTAGTATCACCGCAGCAAGAACGGGGGATGAACTCGAGGCAGCACGAGAAGGTTCTCGTCGAAGACCGACATGGGAGAGCTCTGCCGAAGGCGTCGTGGGCGAGGAAGAGATGGTCGCTAAAGCCATCAAGAATTTCCGACTCCTTTGGAGATCGAGCTCACCACGGCACGGGTCAAACGAGGGCCAGAGGACGAGTAGCAACAGCAGTTATCCTTGTCGGGAGGAGGGCCGTAGGAGGAGTGCTGCTGCGAGAGCAACCGTCAGCGGGAACACCAGTAGAGAGCCCGGTGAAAATGGTCGACCGTCCCAGCGCCCGAACAGTTGCGAAGAAAAACAAGGGAAAAAGGAAGCAGCCGCCGGTGCTAACGCTCGAGCTCTGGCAGAAAGGGAGACTGATGATATCGGTGAAGGGGAGGCAGGAT